GCGATTCTTCATTTTGGATGAAGCTGTAGGTTTTGGTTTATGTTTGAGAACGTTTAGAGAGTATTGTTCATTTTTATGTTTGAATCATACCATATTTCTGATAGAAGTGAAATTTATACGTGCGCAATACTTTATGGCTTGTTGATGGGCAGAGTTTCATCCGTTTAGATCTTATAAGGTCATACTGAAAGCTGAAGATAACTGAATGTCGAAATTTTTTGTTTTTGATAGAATGAGCAAGATGTCAGATGAGAATGCAGAAATGTTAGGTCAGCTCTGTGAGTGGATAATTTTTTAAGGATTCATTGGTATCCGCAAAGACGCATCTTCCAACAATTGAGCGGATTCATGCCGCTTTACCAAAGATCACTGCATCAGGCGAACGTCTACAGATGATTGTATGCTCAGCAACTTTGCACAATTTCGATGTGAAAAAATTGGCGGTATGTTAGCGATTTTGATCAGATACTTACACTTGATCTAGTCTCATTTCAAATCTCGGGAGAATGTTTCGCTTCGTGATATTTCAGAAGGGTGATCGTTTAAGTGGATAATGTGTTATTGTATTGTGGATTTGATGAGAGGTTTGGTTGGATTGAGATTTGTAACATGCTCGGAGTGCGTCGATGTTTGATGGTGACGATTTCAGGATCGTATGATGCATTTCCCGCAGTGGGTTGATTTGAAGGGACAGGATACAGTGCCGGATACAGTTCATCATGTTGTTTGCATGGTGGATGCGAAAAACGATAAAATGTGGATCCGAATTAAACCGCAAGATCGAATTCAGGTAATTGTTGGTCGTATGCACGTCGTTGACGTTTACGCGAAGCTTGCTCTGTTTCGTCTTATTGTTATTGCCACATTCGATGGATAATCTATTGAAACATAGCGCATTTAAGCGATAAGGTTTATAATTTCAGACTGATGGAATGCACGCACATGATGAGATTCGTCCAGGTAGTGAATATCCAGAAACGATTTCAGAGGGTACAAAGATTCTGAAAGGAGAATATGTTTTGAAGGTTTGTTCTTCTTTTTTTTGAATATAATCCACTTGATTTGAATGCGAGTGAGCATTATCTTTAGATATTTCATTGAATATCTTGTGAAATATACTTCCCTGGATGAATGGGAAAAAACGTAGCAATTGGAATCCTTTCTGGTTCTATTTTAGAGTTTGCG